ATAGGGCCTGAAAATGGACATGCAATCTCTACAGTATCTTACAGCAAAGCTCCTCTAACGGGCCTGCCTAGGAAAAAAGGGAGCTGGACAGGTCCTGAGGAATACATATAAAATCAGCTCTGCTGGAAAGTTATTTTTTCCATGTGGAAAACGATGAAGTGAAAGTCTAATTTATGTAAGTGCTCTTTTATGCCATTTAGTGTCTTTTATGCCATTTAGATATCTTTTTAAACATACCAGAAAATGGGCTTTATGTTCCTTCTCTCCAAAATATATCAGAGAAGTATATCTGTAGAACTATGCATTACAAAAAAAAAGAATGCACGTTTCTTCATTAACTTACATTGTTCTTTTCTTCAGTATTCAGGATAGGTGGGTCAGTGGTGGCTAAACATTTTACAAGGGATTCCCAGAAAGACTGGTTCATTTTCTCATGATTCTCCAAGTAATCATCATCAGCAGTGAAAGCCCCCTGGAAAACGTCTGGAGGAAAAACAAGTAAGTTACTGCGCAGAAGTGGAAGTGGGTTGTGTGGTAGTGTTCCCCTCCAGCTCAGTGTAGGTGTGGTGACAGACAGACTCCGCAGCATGTTGTCTTATAGGAAAGAGAGTAGTGCTGTATCACATAAAGCAATATGGTCTACCAGAAATTGGTAGAAAAATGTCAATAGTCCATACAAATGAGTGTGGTGCTGCTGCCTCCGTAAAAGAAGCAGGGGAAGTATTACTAACTATTTATGTAGCAGGCGTTTATCCTGATTATGCTATTTGACAAATAAGGAATTGAGGCACAATAATACAAAGGGATGGATACCTAAGACCTAGGGTTTTCTACAGGGTAACGCCTAGTGTTAGGCGTTTAATGCACAGCAAAATCCCCTTCATGCATCTAAATTCACATAAGGATGTGGCAAGGTCAGATGAGAAGCCTGTGGAAAATGGACGTGCAATGGACAGGGAACTGACTGCTGGTCTGCTTGCAAGCAAGGAGAAGATGTATGGAGCATGTTTTCAGAACAAACTAGTCTCACTGACTCAGTCTAGCAAAAAATGTTGCATAGTGTAAATGAGCAGATGCTTTGACCTTGGCATGTTACCCCTACCTTGCTGTTCTTCAGTAAGTTCTGGGAATGGGCCATTCAAGTTCTCCATTGCTGTACCTGTTCCAAAGGGAAGAAAAAGCAGATGTTATTTCGAAACAGATCAGTCTGACCTTGTCTATTTTTCTGTCTTACACTTGATTTCCTGCAAACATCTCTATCTCTAGGCACTCAGTTTTGAAATCACTTGTTGCAGTGCAAGTTTCACGTCATGACTCATTTACCCTCCCAGGACCCATTCTCAAATCCTGAATGAGTCTTGCTGAGCTGGCCTTTGGTTGTTAAGAAAGAACAAAAGTCTCATCATCATGAGTAAAACCGAAAGAAGCCTGACTCGATCCTTCACTTTTTTTTTTTAAACTACCAAGGTATCTAATTAACTTTTTGCCAATGATGTGAGTAACTTAATAGGCACTATTCCATTCACAAAACAGAACAATTATTTATTACCTCTGACATCTTCATACTTAAAATATGACAGTCAGGGAGAATAGTAAAAAATAGTTCATATGAGAAAACAGCAAGATTTTGAATTCTTGTCTCACAGAAGACTTTGATACTTCAACGTCTGTTCTTCCCAATTGTCATGAAAGGAAATTTCGACTAATTTTAGATTTATGAATTGAAAATTAAGTGTCCATCCCAGCAAGTTTCTTGTTGACCATAGAAACAAAGTATTCTGACATCCCCAAAATGCAATGTTTCCTTTTCGTTTGCTAAACTCACCTTGGAAATTTTGTTTTGAAGCTGCTTTATTCTGATGATGTATTTTTTGTCGTGCTTGGGGTTCTGAACACAGTTGCCTCCACCTACTGTGGTCCAGGCATCCTGAACTAACTCCATCTCCCCATTTCAGCTATAACAGCTGTTATATTGAGAGATATGAAAGACTTTTCGCAAGCCTAAAACACAGTTTCCACTATGCAAGGCACAATAGGAAAATGCTGTGTGTACACCCTCACATTTTCTTACAGTATGGCTTTCGGGTCCATTCAACAAAACACTTTAAATCAACAAGTTTAAAAACAAAGTCTTTCCGTTAAATTTTTCAGATGGAAAACTGATGTTTTTCTATGGGCAGTTTCAATTACCACCATCAATCATAAAAACATTCCAATACAAAATCTAAAACAGGTTCAGTTGATATCTTGAGAAGGGTGGCATAAAACACACAAAAACATCTTAATTTTCTAAATGGAACAGGTTGCTAGAGTGTTAGTTCTTAGACAGAGGACATCAAACACCAACAGATTCCGAAGTAGCCATAAAAGCCATCCCTTCTTTAGAACCAGGGCTGGGGTCTCCAATTTTTGGTATGTTTGCGATTGTGGGAGCTTCCTTCTTTCCTAGACTGCTAGTGTTTTTCAAATGAAGAGGTCCTTAGTTGGATACTCTTTTTAGCCATTGGTTTGCCGTTTGGCTCTGGGAAAGCTTCATAACCTCTTCAATCACTTTAAAAGGCTAAGCCCAAAAAACTGCTTACCTACCTGCCAGGTGTACTGTGAGGAAACAAACACTTAATATTTTAAGGACACTTCAAAATTATTCCTAATGAGAAGTCTGTAAAAAACAACATTTGCAAGGGTAGATAATACCTTTTATTAAACCACCTAATATACCTGGAAAAACTTGTTTGTTTTTTTTTTGGAAAAACAAGCTTTGAACTCCATCCATTAATCTAATAAAAGTTATTACCTCTCCTACAAACCTTGCCTGACTGATAGCCTCCGCTGCCTGAGCTGTGGAGCAGCGCTGTGTGACAGTGGCTGGCACTGTAAGACTGTGAGCACCCGATAGAGAATGCAGGAAACTCATCTGTCCTCACTGTGTGGTGAAGCAACAGCTGATGCTGAAATACCGGAACCCAGCATACCACACCCTGGACAAACTCGTTCTCAGCCACACTACAAGGGACATAATTTCTGTGCAGTTATGTATCTCCAGAAATGTTTTTCAGCCTTTTTCAGTATCTTTCCTGCCTTCTTATTTAGTCAGCTTAAATGCTGTAAGTGTCTGCTTTTGTTCACTAGATCTGTTTGTGGACTGTGGGGTTGAAACACTAGGCCTAAAGGAACAAAATGACTTGCAGTATGAACACTGCCTTTATGACTATGAAGTGCATTTTGTATTTATAACTATCCATAGTTTTACTGTAGAGTGAGACTGAGGGGGATTGACTTAGGGGCTCTCAACATCTCGTTATGGCCACTTTCATTGGCACATTCAAGGCATGCTGCCCTTCCTGTGCCACAAGCCTCTCATAGCGGCCGCCTCTCGCTGGCTTTGTGTCACCGCAAAGACAAAGGGAGGGGGTAGGCACTGACAGGTCTGTGCTGCCATACACAACGGAAGAGCAGATAACAACACCGAAGGCAGAGGAGGCATGGTCAGCTTCATGTGCTGCCAGACTGACTTCCAATAGAACTATTTGTTTGTTGACCCAAATGACATAACTGCCCAGCTGTACCCACAGCAGAAATGCATTTGGCTGGCAGACACGTGCATGCCCCTGTCTGGGCGGCTGGATGCCAGCTCTCTGCTCAGGCAGGTACCACCAGAGGGTCCGGGAGCAGCCACAGCCTGACGCAGGCTCCCCTTGTACGCCTCCAGCATGCTGAGCCCAGCTGCCCACCACACTGTGGGACTGAGGGAGTCAGGTGCCTAATTTATGTTAGGCTGAGGGCAATTAATACCCCTGTGGCTCTTCTGGAAAGAAAATCAGATCTAAGGAAAGGAGAAGGCTTGCCATTTAATTATTGTGTGTATTAAAAGCAATGCAGTTGATTATACCTGACACCAAAAGCAGGATGATGGCACACCGTACTGGCCTTGCAGCCTGGCCACCAGCTCCCCGGGGAACACTGTGACCAACAGACCTCACCTGGCTTTCCCCAGAGCCCATGAGGAGTTAACTGCAGCGAGGTCTTTTTGACGAGTTAAGAGTAAAATTTGTGTGCAGCATCATGCTCCCTGATACCGAGAGAGAAAGTTATCTGCCAGATGCAACAACTTTTTTCTGTTTAATTGCTGAAATATAGGAGTGAAATTGTTCGCTGGGATAGCAGAAATTGTGACTACAATAACACAAGAACACCTCAAGACAAAGACCATCTAATACTAAAACTGTTCACTTTGAAACTACCCCTATAATTCCTTTTAAATTACATGCAGATACCAAATCCTGCTCAAGTTTGCTTTTGAACATCCACTCCCCCACACCAGTCCCACCAGACCCCACGCGGTACCCCTGTATGCCTCAGGCTGGTTCCATGGAAACTGGTGGCTGCGAGGCCTCAGCAGGTGAGCCCAAACCTCCTGTCCCTTCAGCCTGAAGCGGCTCCAGCCAGTGCCACCAGCGGGACACTGGTACGGGGACCCGACAGGCATCCCCACAACCTCTGGGGCCGTGCCCACTGTGCGCTCTGATCTCACCTGGCGTGTGCTTCTCCTGCAGCCCCAAGGGGAGACGGCGAACGCCTCAGAAACTGGATGAGCTGGTGCTTGTCCTCTGAGTAAAGTCAAAACGAGTCTCCTTGGCGTGAAACGGGTAAAAAGGGGAAGTGGGGGCAAGGATTGCCCAGAGGATTATATATATACGTATGTGTATATATATGTATATGTGTGTTTATAAATGTGCGTGTCTATATATGTGTGTGTCTATAATATATATTTGTGTATATATATGTAAGCATATGCGTGTGTATATATATATACATATATATATATATATATATACACACACCCACGAGGGGCCTGTCCGGCAGCCCGCCCCAAGGCCGCCGAGGTGCGGGACAACCCCGCCGCACGGCGCCTCAGGAGCCCGGCGCAGCTCCCGGGGCCGCCCCTCGGCGCTGACTCAGGGGGCGGCGCCGCCGAGGAGGGCCGGGGCCGGGGCCGGGGCCAGGGGGGTGTGAGCGGGTCTAGGCGGGCCGGAGACCCCCAGACAGCCGTTCTGGGGCGCCCCGAGGGGCCGGCGGCCACGCTGCGAGGGAAAGGCCCCACGTCGCGCGGTGGCTGTGTGGAGGGAAGGGCGTGAGGGGAGCGGCGAGGCGGGCGGGCTTTGTCCCGTGCGCTCCTCGGGAGCAGGGCCCAGGCAGGCACAGCCCCTGCCCTTACTCCTGCACCCCAGGGCCGCCGGGTCCTGTGCTGAGGAGCTGGGAGGCTGGCGGGGAAGGGAAAGGGTTCCCCGACCCCTGTCTCCAGCGAGCAGAGTGGGGACGCCGCTGGGGTACGGGCGTGCTCAGCAAAGTAGGGCAGCTTTTGCCACGAGCAAAGCTCTGCACCTTAAGTCACTGAAGGCTTGTGCGTAGGTAAGAGGCAAAGCCACGCTTCTGGGATGAGAGACCACGCTGCCCTGCCCAAGTAATAAGCTGGAAAACACAAGCACAGCTCCTTGGCCTGCTGTGTTTGCAAGTGCCTGGGATACAAATGAGGCGCAGCAGCCTGTACTAACAAGATTGTCAGAAGCCAGACTGGGGAGTGAGGAGCTGTTCTGGGAACATACTCCCAGACTGGTCACCCTGCCTGCCCCCAGCTGTGATCAATTCCCCAGTAACCTTCACCAGGTTAACCTGCAACATGCCTGACAGGAATCCAGACACCTCAGTTGGCTGAGGCAAAGAAAATATTTCCTCCCCAGCCTAGCACATTTTCACTGTGACAAATGGGTGTCCAGGTCTCTTCACACATAGCACAATAGCTGTGTGCCAGAGTCTTTGCCAGGTACAAAACTTCTCTGGCTTTCATAGCTGGAAGTTAGATTTTTATCAAATTAGGTGTGATTTTATAGCAAGGCATGTAGTTTGAGTGGGTGCAAATCCTCCATTTGCTGTAAGTGTCATTCACTGTGCATTGTTTGCTTGCTCTTAGAAAGCAACAGGGAGCAGCCCAAGTTGGATGCAGCTTCCAGTCTCTGATTATGCTCAGGTAAAGCAGGGAGTTTCTCTTTGCCCTTTTCCAGCAATATGTTTTGCTATTAGTAACTCTGTTAGCAGACTCTTGAGTTCTGATAACAGCAGTCATCTTCCAGGTCCTGGCATCCTTCACAGGCAATTTCCCTGCCACTGCTAGCTCATCCTCCCTGGCTGGCCATGCAGTACCTCAGCTCTGGCTCTGCATAGGCTGTTACCCAGTCACCCAGAGTACCAATTCACGTTGCTCATGCGTTGAACATTCTGTCTTTGAGCAGGAGGAAGAGACACAAACCGTTTCCTTGTAGTCTGTCCTGCCTCTTTTAGAATAACTGGAAACAAAGCACCCTTTTGTTTGGCTTTTTTTTTTTTTTTCTGCTGTACCTGCAGTACAGCTAATCAATGTTCTTCTCAAAGCCTTCCTGTTTACCTCTGATGCATATAACATTTTTAGCACAACATTAAACTTAAATCATCCAAGTATTGTATTCTGTTTGTGGGAGCTCCTCCTTCACTAGCAGATGAACGATGACCCAGTCAGCCCTCAGCAGAAGGGAACAAGACAGCAAGAAGGAGGGGGGGGAGACCCCTTCTGTGCACGAGAGCAAAGAGAGCCCAGTTCAGAGGCTTAACACTGGGCATATAGCAGCTACACTCTGGCATTTTCACCTTGGTGTTTCCCACTACAGCTGTCTCTGGGTAAATAATTAACTAATTATTATGCCTTTCTTAGGCTAGTCTCTTGTCTTTGGCCCTTAAAATTCTCATCTAAGGAAATACTCCAGCTCCTATTGATTCTGAGCTACTTCTGTGCCTGCACAAAGGTAATCTCCTATTTTGGTCTCTGGATTAAAATATGTTTCTGGGTTTGACTTCCTTTCAGCATCATTCTTGTTACTGTCCTGTTGTAAAGTGTTTCTTTTTCTCAGAAGGTATTGCTTTTGACTATGTTTGGTCACTTGAAACAGTGCATCCATTGGGTGACAAACCAACCTAGATGATTCTGTGATTGCTGGTAATAATGGGAGGCCTCTAGGGACATTCCCATAAAGTAGCGTGTCTATTGATTATGCAAGGTGTGGTTATGTTAAGTCATTTGTCAAATTAAGCTAACAGTTTCACCCTGATGCAACTGGTGCCAGAGGAAGGGGTGTGCAGAGCAGGTAATATACCCTCTGCTCTCCTTTTCACATATTGATGTTTCTGGAGATACTGGAATGCAGATAAATTCTGAGAGTTTGTTGTTGTTGTTTTATGGTTTTGGATTCCAGAGCCTGAGATGTTGAAGGGAGAGGAAGGTTAGAGAGCAGAGCTTAGGGAAGTCTGAGCCAAGTGGCTGTAGGCAGCCCCAGCTGCCTTTGGAAGGCATGTTGGGCTCCTAACACAGCCACTGGCTATGCTGTCAGATTTTTATGAGAGAACTAGTCAAGCCTTAGTTCATAAGCTTAACTGTAGCACTGAGGAAATAGGATGTGCTGCTTGTTCATATGTTACATCACGTAGGATAGTAGCGACATAGCTGTTACCTGTGTCACAGTCTCTAGGGAGCAATCCTCTTCGGTCAGGAAAAGACTGAAATCCTTGTTAGAAATGTGGGAGAAAGGTTAAACTGAACAGAACTCATTTTAAAAATGAAAAAGAATTCATTTTAAAATTGAAACATGGCATGGGTTCCTTATACTTGTCACAAATTTCATGTTAAGCATAATTCTCAGAAGATCGATACACTTAGCAGGAGAAAATCAAAGACTGGGACTGCAAAGGTTTCCAGGTTCGGTTAAATGTGTTCAAACAAAACACCTGCTGGCGCTTAGGCTTTCACACACAATTACCAAAGCATTAAAACTAGCTGTGTTCATGTTGTACATGTAAAATATATTCAAAATTTTGGTAAAATTGTAACTTTAATGGAAAAAGAACTAATTGCATGTGATTCAGGAACAAGATTTGTGTGTGTGTGTTTAACCTGGCTATACCATAATGATTTCTTCTATCATGTTTGCTTATTCACCAGGTTTAGCCTCTGATTGCAAATGGAGCATGCAAGAGATTAACAACCCTATGGATTTAATCTCAGGGTTTATGAAATGCTTCTCCTACACGTGCAAGCAAAGCAATCAGCTGCTGGCTGGAGCGTTCAGAGGCACGGGGCTTGGTGTGAGCTGTGTGTCTCCAGGTGGGTGCAGTGCTGTCATGCCCTGACTCGTGCCTCCTGCGCAGGAAGGGTGCTCATCTCCTTCCTGAGGGCAGCCAGATGGGACTTCTCTTAGCTGAAGCAGAGGGTAATGCATGCAAAATGCTGCTACTTCACGGTGTTTACAATCTAAACCTCCTTTCAACCAAGCTGATGAGAATTTTTCTATTGATACGCATGGGAGTAGGATTAAATACCTGGGGAGACTTTGGGACCAGGTCTTCTAAATAAAAGAAAATCCCTTTTCTCCAGAGCCTGCTGAGATAGAGAGAGGCTGCATCATTAGTTTTCCACATCGTTCAAGCGCCTTGTCTCACCTACCCTGACATATTTAATTGCATGTAATGTTTAGTACTTAAAGCAGATAATATGCTGCACCTTCAAAGCACTGAGAGAAAATTACCTAATTAATTCTTTATTGTGTGTTACATGTGTTTATTTTGCCCATATTTGGGAAATATCTTCTGAGAGTGTTAGGAGAAAAGGCGATTTGCTCTTTGTTCACTGGGAAAATTACTTCCAGGAGGCGTTTGTAGACACAAGACACATGCTAAGGAGCTCTTAAACTTAACACTAATTGGGTACAGCTTGCGCACAGATCTGTCACACAGATACATTGCAAGAGAAATGCAGAAATATTCTCTTAAGTCAGTGCAGGAGGGGCCCGGTGATGGTACATATTCAGAGTAGTAATTACTCATTTAGTCATCACATTTCTGATGGATTAAGACATTCCTGTGATCTCTTGCTCTAGCCTGACTTTCAAAGGGCTGATTAAACTAGTCCCTCCTATTTGCACAGATGCTACTTATTTTCTTTATTTTAATCCTGCTTAAACAATCGTGAGACAGCAAAGTACTAGTAACTGAGGGAGCACTATGTTTCAGTATCAGTTGTATTTTGCAGGGTACAGCTGATCTACGAATACCTTTCTGTTTTTAAACTGTGAACACCTTTGAGAGGCAGAGAGAAAAGAGAAGCAACAAGTAATAAGTACAACCCGCTCCCCTAATCCTCCAGACTATCACTGATCTAATAACATGCTCTGATGCTGGGAGGTGGACGTGAGAAAGCACCTGTCGTACTTTGCCTGGGCTGACAGGAGGTCTGACGTTCAGCCATGAAAGTTTTCGCAGAATCATGGGAGAGTGGGTCACATTGTACCTTGTTGAGATGTTTAGGAGATTTTTCTTATTCTGTACCCTTCTACAAAATAATTTACTGCGATTACTAATTCATGGTACAAACATCTCAAACGGAAGTAAAACTTCTGTTAAAGCCTCTTGAAATTTAAGGATTAGGCAATCCTTAATGGTGATCTAGAAACAGGAGTTTCTTGTTTGGTACAATACCTTCAGCATCTCAATCGTAGTGAGAGCCAAGGAGGGCACTGTGCTGACCTCTGACTTTTTTTTCCTCATTCTATTTCCTCAAACTTCTATGTCTGGTCAAAATCATATTTTCTTCAAACTCATTACAAGCTTTCTAGTATGTGTTGTTGAAAGTGGATCAATGTGCGCTAGTTATTTCTTAATAGTAAAATTTGATCATTTACATCAAAAATCTCCAATTTCTAATTGCTACTAAGATATTGGTGATAGCAGATGAAATCTGTGCATATTCCAGAGCCTATTGACAGATTCCAGAAGAATGTTTGCTTCCTCTACTTTATTGACTCTCCTTATTGGCAATATCATAATTGGTAATAATGGACTACTGTGTAGATTCTCAAGTCTCACAATTCTTATTCTTCTGGCCAGGTGTCATGGAGATGTTAAACAGCTGTCCCGTACCTTTGCTGGCAAGCTGAGTGCTTACAGACCTTGAACTGAATGAGCACCACATCTTGCTACAGCTGGTCCAGCTGTGCAAGCAGCTATTGAGCCACCAGCAGTCCAGTTATGTCACGGTGAATGTTGCAGACGTGTGTCACAGGTATACAAATAAGCTCTCTAATATTTTGCGCAGCTCTGAAGGTGGCTGTGTCTTCCAAATACATTTCCCAGGCCAAGTGCTCCAAGTTTCTTTAACTTCCAAGAAAGGTATTTTTTTTTTTCTGCCTAGTAGTGATCAACATTTTGACATCCACCATCCTGTGTGGTCAGAGGTTAGGGGAAGAAGACGCGAGCCCTACTGCCCTGCCAAACCCCTTTGCAGGTATTGTCGCTGGCTGCCCTGTGCTCCCAGGTGGTGTTTTGTACTGAAGCATTTGTGCAGAAAGGCTGCCATCGTGTGGCCTTGTCCCCATCCGTGTGTGCAAGAGGCCTTGCTCACACCCTACCTTCCTTATCCGTCTCCAGGGATGTTTTTCCATTTTCCTCGTCTCTGCTGATGCCCAGCCTGCCACAGGGACTGAGGCTGCAGCACGCTGGAACAAGCCCTTGCCAGCCAAACTGCATATTTTTTGTTGCCATGATATAAAATGAGATGCTCTGGCTTTTTGTGTACATGGTTGTAATAAAGCAGAACTGAAAGCTAGTTTCAGATTAATGGCCAGCAAAGCAAAAATGTCATTTTGCAGCTTAGACTTTCTGTAGAAATGTGTTGTTTCTTAGCACAGAAGTTCAGCACCTTAAACACTAGCCTCTCCTAAAGCCCAGAAACAGGAAAGTGACAACACTAACATCACTGTCCCTCCAAAAGCACAACCCTCCAGGCTGCAAACCCTGGCTGACCAAGGCAGTTGCTATTATGTTTGAGTTTCTGTTTCTCTCATAGTTGAAACATGTCTGAAATGTAAACTCAGACTGGTCTGGGAAAGAAAGAAAATGGAGCTGGTTCAGTTGCTGGCAAAATGAGCTATTTCTTTTCCAGACCTCTATCTAAAACACAAAGACAACCTGTGGCTTTGTGCTTGGGGTTTGGTTAGGGCTCTGAGTCAGGAGCTGTGGTGGTACTTGCTTTCTGGTCATACAGGAGAAGAGTAACTGCTGTAGTGAAGCAGATTCATGGACTGTTTCACTTCTTTCTTTTCCCTGACAGTGGACAAATTAAATAATGTTCAAAGGCATACATGGCACTCAAAGACATCCAGTATGTAATCTTCATTCCCCCAGCTTCTCCTAACTGATCGATCAGATGCTAATATGCTGCAGGATGGATGCTAATAATGTAGGCTGGAGAGAGGAGGAGAGCTGAATTATTCCAATCCAGTTCCTGCAGTCATCACTAAATATAGAGCTGGTACTGATGCAGCACTTCTGGGTTGGTTTTGAAATGTCTGGCATGCTCTGGTGTGGGATATTTAAAAATCTTTTCACAATTATATGTGAATGCTATATGAGATGATGCTATATGACGCTAAAGCTCAGCTACAACAAACAAAAGAAGGGAGCTCAGTAGTCCTGAAACATGCTCCAGCACGCTGCCAGGCGGCGAGGCAGTAGCCAGCTGCCTCACTGTGCATCAGCTGAGCCTGGATCTGGAGGCTTGCCACTGACAAACCACCTGTTCTCGTAATGCTCTCTTTCTACTTTTCAAGGAGGGAAATGTATCAGGCCAGATTTGGCAGCTGTAGTCTCAGGGACATCCCATAATTGCAGAAGTGCTGTTCCATGTGCCTAATGAAGCAGCGGAGGCTGTTGGTGTGTTTGAGCCCTGAAGAGCGCTTGCACTGCATGCCTTTCTTTATTTCCTTTAATTTGCAATCTCAATTAATTTTTCTCAAATTAATATGGGCATCACAGTGGGGGTTAGGTATTCATATCATAGAGGAATAGAGACCAAGAGATGATTATACAGTGCCCAGGATTCATGTAATCTGACGTTAGACACTCCCGAGGCAGGTACCTACATTCAGTATGGTTGTTTCACTCCTCCTTTGTGCTCAGTGAGGCCCTTCTAGGGTGCAAACCTTATGACTGCTTCATATCCCTTTCTTAGGGCAAGAGCACTGCCTTGTGGAGGAGCCTGCCCATGGTCATGCAAGCCCTGCAGGTGTGGAGCTCAGATGCCCGGAGTTAAGGCACTTGCAATGAGTCTATGACAAATGTGGGGGAAAAAAGCTAGAGCCCTGCTGGATCAGACCAAAAGTCTGTCTAACCTAGGGTTAACCCATGTCTGCAGATAGAGCCCAGGATGACATCCTTGAGCAAGGCGAGCATGTGATGATTCCCATGTGTGCTCTTCTGGGTCCTTGAGATCTACAGAGCCAATTTATTGAGCTAGAGGCGGTTCTGTATTTAATAGTTCCTGACAGAAAAACTCCTGGAGCAGAAGCCTTTTACGTGCCTGTGGACAGAGACAGTAGTATCTTTGCAGTATGTATGTACATGTATCACACAGTAGGAACAGAATTTGAGGCTCACGGCGTGAAGCTAGAGGAGAGGTACTTTAAGTCAGATCAATTTTTGTGATCATTTACATCCCTTGGTGAGGCTGTTTTTATCTGTTCCAAGTATCAGGTAAGCACTGACGCTTGTCTGAACCCCTTAAGGGCCCAGATGCATTTTTAATTTAAATAGACACAGAAAGTCAGGGTGCTAGTAAGGGCTGTTGACTTAACAGTGGTGAAGATGGAGGCTTCTACTCAGAGCACAGGTTCCTTACAAAGTACCCCAAAGTTTCAGACAGCCTTGCTGCAGCACTCTGAAGGCAAGGCCCTCTTTTCACTTTGCAGCATTTCCATCTTCAGAAAGGTCCTAACTCCTACCTGGGGGTACCGTTATCCTGGGGTGTATCACCAGTGTCAAGGTGGTGGATTTCCATGTAAAAGTTTCCTGAGGTTTTCTTCAACTGCAGGGACAGCCCTGCTGCAAGAAGAACTGTCCAACACTGTGTTGAAAAACCCAGTGGGTGTTTGCCCCTACTCTCTTTGCCCTGGTGTTTGCAATGATTTTGCAACAAGGCAGGAGCTTTTAAGGAATGATGCTATGAAGACAGAGCAGATGGTGCTAATTTCACCCAGGAATGAGACAGTCTTGCAGTGGTAAAATGCCTGCTGTTCTGTTTTATCCACTGGAAAGTTTTAGGAGTCTAATTCTGCTCTCAGCTGAATGTATCTTGTTCCCCAATGTGGATTTACTGGGATGCTGCAGAAGTTGGAGCCTTGCCTCCAGCACACACCAAGCCCTAGGGCAGGAGAGAAGCAGCACAAATCCCAGTGAACAAATGCAGTGCAGTAAAGGAGCTGCAGTGCATTGCTCTAGGATATGGGCTATTTCCCGAGAAATTAACAAGTCAAATCAAAAGACAGAAAGGAAAGGGCATGGAGGCTCTTGGGGCATTTGAGATGCAGTTCAGAACCCATTTCAGGCAAACTAAAGCAGAGTAAGATGAAGTATTAATTGGTAAGATGATTAAATGTGATTTATTTCTGGTTTAAAATCCCCAGAAAGGCATCTGAGCCACTTTTTCTCTTTCACTATTTCTAAAGATATGCAAGGTAAGAATGAGTCACTGACTAAAAATAAAAACAAGCCTCTTAAGTAGGAAGTGGGATGTGCTGCATTAATCAAGGCTTGATTGGAAGTCTCGTGTAGGTTGCATGTACTGAAAAGGAAGACCTGGTAAAGCATTCCTTTCTTGGGCAATTTTCCCTCTCTTGGGAGTTCTTCAGCAAGAAATACAATCCTTTGATAAGAATCTATTACAGGGAATATCTTTGCTGGGTTCTTACTTTGTAGATAAGTGAGAAGTGTAGACACAAATTAAATTGTGATTTACTAAGGCTTCTTTAAGCCACTTTCTAACTTTGTGGGTCCCTAGTGCACCAGAGTGAAACAACAACAGTATTACAGCTCTTAAATGTTTTCTTCTATTGTCTGTATTTCATTGTGTGTACACTCAAATCAGGTATCAAAGCTTTGTTTCATTAGTTACTTTTATTTTTTGGCCATCATGGTCTGTTGCCAGCAGCTGTTAGAGTTGATAGGAACTGCAAGGGAGCAGAAGAGTTGCCAGACCAGGTCATCTGCCTCCCAGCCTGCAAAGCCCGACACTTGTGTCTTGTCTGCCAAGTCAGCTCAGGGGTCCTGCTGCCTGGATGTGTCTATGCCATGGTAAATCACAGTGAGCTTTCTTATTATTTGAGAAAATCAAGTGTGCTTTCTGATTATCCCTTTTTTTGTACTTTTTTTCCTTTTTCCTCCCCCTTTTCCTAAATGCTGTGCCAGAATCAACCATGTACACAAAGCACAAAAATTAAAGCTGCTCTGGGGAACATCCTTTCTCAGTCTATAAGAAAATTCCCTCTTGCATGTGTTACATGCAGGGAATACTTGTACACACTTGTACACATCTGCATGCAGTGGCTTGTCCATCATCTAGTGTTCAATAAAACATTCTGCTGAGATGAGTGTGTAGAGCTGGGAAGTGACTGATACTCAGGGTTTCAACTTTTTTAAAATGCTTCCTGAGTTTGGGTTCACCAGCTCATAAAATGGGACCGGTACAACTTGATTTAATAAGGACATTATGACTTAGTAAGGTGGTCTGGTTATCATCTGGCTTTGCAATTTTGAAAGTATCAGAGTACATATTTACTGTAACTTATTGCTGCAATATATTATAGCCCTTAGGGCTTAATCCCTAATTTATCTTTAAGACACAGAGACTCTATAGTTTGAGTTGTTGGTAATCAATGACACTTTTAAAGTGTAGAGGTCACTAACTCATTTGTGCACGTAGCGAAGAGACAGAAGCAGAACAGCAACAAGGCTGTAACCTAACCTCAGGCAAATCACTGATTTCGCTGGTGCTAGTGAAGAGCACACAAAAAAACCTGAGACTGCTGGTGCTGCCAAGTGCTGCACACAGCTGTGTGTCCTTATGCAAATAGCTGAGATAATTTATTAAAAACTGGATAATATAGGGGCTGTAGAAAGCTATTTTTGCTTCAACAGATTTCTTTTTCCAACTACTATAATGCAAATCAGTGTGACTGAAATAGGAGCCCAAATAATATGTCCCTTGTTCTACTTTTTGTAAAATGCCTATGACTTTCAGTGATTTTCTTCTTGTACACCACTGAATTTTAGGGCTGGAATAGGTCAAATTGATCAAATTTGAACTGAATCGGGAGAAACGTGGGCTTTAAGAGGGTTTAAGTGACACACTCATGGGGCTAGGGTTGGGTTCTGCACTGCCTCTGCAATTTCATGTGAAAGGCAGAAGTCAAAATCAGCATATGCAAGAGGTGAAAGTGTACAGTCAGGCAGTGCAGCTCCTGCAGTGGAGATCTGCAGCAGAAGAATGGCTTATTCCTCACTTGTTACGCTTCAGGAGAAAGCTCCAAAATTCACAGTGGTAAAGAGTAAAGTGCATTATGTGAGAAATGGATGAAGGGCCGTAGTTAAAGAGTACTGTTGAGTAGGCACTAGTCAATTCTGCTGAAACTGTGATTTTGTCAGACAGGAAACGTCGGGCGTATCTGCTGGATGCTTCCTTACTTACTTGTTGTAGATAAGATTTTCTCTCTTAAAATATCAAGCCCTTGATATATATATATATATATATATATATATTATTCATAAAATGGTAATTACTTGGTAATCAGTGTTTATGTATGCATGCTTCTGAACAGAACCTATATCCAGCTAGATAAAGTCACATGTGACATGATAATGACAGTATCTTTTGTGGGATGTAGTTAAATTACTGATGCTTTCCTTTGTCCACAGTTCCTAGATTACTAACCTTGACAAAAATTAATTAGAACACCACAATAGCCACAGACTAAGCTTGTCAAAGGGCACATGGGCATTATAAAGTGCTCTTCTGCTTTGTGAGTCACGGACCCTGTAAAACTTGCAAATAACCTTGCAAAAGAACAGTAACTTCAGTGCTTGAAGACCAGCTTTGCATCTCCTAGAAAAGGAGTGTTTTATGTGATTTGTATTCAAGCTGTTGTGGCTGATCATGTTAGCTCAATCGATGGTTAAGGGCTTGAGTTAATAATGATGGGTCATCTGCAATTACCATCTTGAATATACCTGCTTAGAAAGACCTCAGTTATAGCTTACAAACTTTCTGAATTCCTAACTGAACACAAGCTAGACACAGGGCTTGAACTGCTTAATTCTGTGCCCCTATATAACAGGGTGTATGCTCTGTAACGAGTGCTGGGCTATTTAGTATTAGTGCAGTCCTTCTGCCATTTACTCAGTCAGCCATAGGAGCATATGCAAGCTGCTGTGTGTTTTGTTGGCTGCACCTATAACTAGATGCTTGGGGCACAAACAGAAAGAATTGAATGGGAAAAAAAGTTATTTACTATTCTTATTTCTGTTACAATAATACAAAGGCAATAACACAGTAACAATGCTTTCACTGTTATTTGAATGTGCTCAAAGTAAAGAAATAAACAAGTAAACTCTAGAATATTAGGGTGGTGGAGTTTTTGTTTGTTTGTTTGTTTCAGTTGGAGCAATTGCATTTACCACAAATTAATTTTACTGCCTGAAACAGAGTGTCAGTGCAATTTAGGACGTTACAGACAAAAAGGGCCGTCTGGCTGACATGTATGACCAAGACCTTAACATAGTAGACAAGACAAGGTATAACATCCTTTTTTTTTTTCTTTTTTTTTTTTTCTGCCATAATCAAAAAATGTGCTAGATATGTTAGTTTGTGTTTTTAAAACAACATCAATTAAATCAGAATTTGCTGCAATTTTCTGTGCCTAGTTGAAAATTTAGAATTTGGTCCAGCCTATAAAAACTAATGCTGAAAAAGCATCCATTTGAAACAATGGGAATTTATGATGTGGATTTCTCTGGGGCCTGGCTGTCTCCCCGGAAGGAGGGATGGGGGAATGTTTTGGTTGTTTGTATTGCTTTTTTCTGTTTCTTCTCCTTCCTTCTTTTATTTCCAAGGTCCTCTAGCAAACAATCAAAATAAAAATGAGAAAAGGTTTAAATAATTTAGGATTGAAAGTAATTGTTTCCATGTGTGTGTGTATAATCAAATATTATATTAAACGGTATACAGCTAAATAGGCCTGTGAAGGCGATAAGAATAGAAAGATAATTGTGCTCTGTTTCTTCTGACAGCAATGGGGTCCTGTCCTCAGGACCCGCTGTTTGCTCCTGTCCCTGGTCTGCCCCCTTGCTTGGGCTGCTGCAGCGCCCCGGGTTCACCCTGTGAATTGGACCAGTTGACTGCCACAGGTTAGTTACCCTCTTTCCCTTCTTTTTCCATGATTTATAGCCCAAGGCAGCTCCCTGATTCTGTTACGGACAAAAGCCCGCAAAGCAGGGTGCAGTACAACTTGAAGTAGTGCTGCTTCCCCCAAAGACCCACACAAGGACAAGGTTAGGCACCACATCAGCCCTCCAAAGGTTGATGTCTTGCTGCTCTGCTATCCTTGTTACCCAGTGCTCCTGGGGCTGCATCAGAAAGCCAACTGTGCAGGTACTGGGTTTGGCTTCCTGCCATTTAGCAGCCTTGGCTACGCAGAAAAGAGCCTGGTGAGTGACAAGGGCACCATGAGGAAGGAGTGGATGGGGCAGCATCTCCCCCGTCCCAAAGAGGTGGTGGGATTGACTGTTCTATAAGACGTGATTTGCCCCATGGTTACACCAAGCTTCTGAAGATCCCACCCACCATGCTCTGTCTCAGTTTTATCTTTCATTCTTTTTCCCATATCTCTTCCCCCTTGTGTTCCTGTATTTTGTTGAATTAAACACAGTACTCAAAGACTCTAAAATGTTCATGGCACTCGCCTAAGACCGTGGCTTGCTGTTTACAGGGTATGGAGATACGGCACTTGGGTAATTGACAATAATTTATTTGGATTAACAAATCCACAACTGAGAACACAATAATGCTATTTGTGTTCAGCAGACTCTCAGAGAAACAGAGCATAAGAACAAAGGGTTTTGGTTAAGCCTTTAAGGGTTTTAGGACATACACTACATGTCAAAGGAGACAATACTTAAGTGGCCCCATGGACATATGCCAAACACACAGATTATCTGATAACAAAAACTCTTAAGAGCATGGACCAGGGGATTTCCTTGGGAACTGGAGCAATTAGGAGGGGGAGATATGCATCACTGTTTCAAATGGACCTGTTTTACTGTGGAAATAACACTTCCCTAGAGAGATGGCAATAGAAAAGCAGCAATATCATTTTAATTTACGTCTTGGCAATTTGAGAGTAGATTTCTTGTTGTTGTCTTTCCTGTTCTCTGCGTTTACTGGGGAGTTATGGATCAGCAGTTCATGTCTGGGACAGCTGTCCTGGGAGGGCTGCTCATAGGCTTGTTCTCATGCTGCTCAGAGCGGTTCCGTGGATGGAAATCAGAAGCTGGTGCAGCGAGCATTGGTGAGTCCTGGCTTCACTCGCCCACTGCCAACCATGCCAGAGCTGTGCTGACAGAGGTGGCAGGGACCGAGCAGGAGTGGATCAACAGCAGAGAGGGCTGAACAGAAGAAAGTTAGAGGGGAAAAGTTACTGGGGAAGGATGCAATGTAATTTTATAGAGAGACATTTCTGGGATTTCCCTGCTGCCACGTGGTGCCTGCCAATGAGTGTTCCGGAGTGAGAAACACTGGTCCCCACCTCCTGAGCACACACTGGGCTTACTGGACACAGGGATGTATTTTGCAGAAGACAATAGTGTTGGTAGCTGGGATGCACTGCAAGCTCCTGGGTTTTAAACATTTGAAGTAATGTGTTTTTGCTAAGTAATCATAAAGCAATTTTTCAATGTCTGGGTAAATGCTGGTGTTAAAAAGAAGAGCTGGAGCAAATGGCAATGGGCAGGATGCTAGATGAATGCTCTGCAGGGGCTTAAGGCTAGGCTTGTCTGTAACTGGAGGCTGCAGGCAAATAATGGATAAATACACACTGTGCTCGAGTCCAGAGCTACTTGAACCACATTGACCAACTCTGCCAGGGAAAAAATCTATTTTGGTTTTAGGAGAATTACTTTCAATGTGATCAATTATCAGCAACTTGCTGTGTCAAATGCCTCCTGCTACTGACCAGGCACAAATGGACTCCAAAAATGTGTCATTACCCAGCTGCTCTTAATTTGAGCAAAAGCAAGCGTAAAAATTTTGGGGAGCCTTTTTACTGTTCTCATTGCTCAGCCATGCTTTCTTCGCTGGTAGGGAAAATGGAATTGTTCAACTTACACATGCAGGTTTTGTCAGGAGCTAGGAGACAGGAGCTCGTAGGGCTTAACTGCTGACAGTCCTCTTGGTAACTGGCTCCTTGCGCCCAGCTGCAGACCGCAGATACCATCGTCTTTGGGCCTGTTCCTGCAGCTCTCTGCGGGGTGAGGTGCTCCCATTGGGGTAAGAGGGGCTGGTTCGCGTTAGTCTGATCTGGCAGAAAGACAAACCTCATCCACAAAATTTTCATGGGAAAATCCAGCATTGCTCTCAGCCTGTTTTGCAACTGCTTTGACTTGAAAAGTTCTTTAAAATGAAGCACTGTGAAGTTGTTGGATCTTTCCCACGCTCTCTGAGGGCAGGAGGGAAAGAAGTGGGCCATTCTGAATCAAACCTTCCTAGCCGGCCTTGGCCAGCAGCTGCCTTGGTTAATGGCTTTTGCAGACGGTCTGCTTCTGCAGGACTCCCTGGTGCAGTACAGAGCTGCAGTGCCCAGTAATGTCTCTGGCTGGGGGGAAGGCAGGGTGAAACACTTCTGAAATAAAACTCTGAATGACAAAATAGAGGATAAAGGGCAAAGGGATAAAAACCACTTATTCTGATTTTCAAAAGAACTTGGAAAATTGCCTTACTGGAAGTAACTGAGGGACATAAAGTAGTCTAGTAAAAAGCAATTTCGGGTTATCTCTGGAGAGTCCTGCTGGGATGAACTAATTCAGTGTCTTGGTTAATACAGCAGGCAATGAACTGAGGCAGCCGAAAAGCCAGAGTATATTCATTCCAGCTAATTCTATTACCGAATAGGGGAGAAAGAGGCCTAATCTCCAGCAGGACAGGAAGAGCAGCTGGGAAAACTCATCTGCCCCTATAAGCACTTCTAGAACTTATTTAGGAGATCCTAATAAAGCAGAGGAGCTCAGGAGCAGAGGGAAAGCATCAGCAGTTTTGTACCACGTCTGCATACTGAAGCAGAGGTCCTCTGACACTAGTTGACCATGAGCTGAGGATGTAGATACAAAAAGACATAAAACTGAAAGTAGTTCTAGGTTAGAGAAGAAAGGAAGAGATAAACAGCCATGTTAACTGGGCACTCACTGGCAGATGACTTCCATCTGGTGAATGCTTCTTAGTACAGGTTGCAAGGACAATAATGGTGTGCACATGTTAGGAGTTCCCACGTCAGCAGGCACATGGGAAAAGATCTGGGCCTTAGCCTATGTAGCCCTGTGAAAACTTTTATTTCCTTCTGCCAAATGAAGTCCACTGGAGATGGAGTGATAAAACAATTCATAGGTGAGCTTAGAAATACGTACGTGAGAGAGCAAGAAATAATACTAACTTTAGAAAATAGGTAGAGGAATTTTGTTTTTCTTTATTCAGAATTGGAGGCAAGGTAAACAAACAAGGAGAAAATGTTTTTTACTTGTCAAGTGTATTTAAAACCACACAGAACCAAAATGCATCACCTGTCTTGGGAAGCAACAGGCTAAATGATAATCTAACAGCTTTGTAAGGCATAAAATGATCACACCTCTGTGGGTAATGAGACTGTTGTGTGTGCTCTCACATATGTATAAAAATATCGATGATATAAACCTTCCCATTTCATACCAGGGGAATAGGCAAGAAAACATCTCTGATTTGGGTGGGTTATTCTTCATTGCCCACATTTTTGTAGGACACTTTGTGCTTCTGGGTATGGCAGGCACAACTCTCAGCCGCTGTGGTTTTGGTGTGTCTGGGGACTAATGCTCGCACAGTACCTGCTTGTGAGCTTCAGAGGAAGAACCTCTGCTTGCAAAACAAATTAACTGAGGGATGTTATAAACTGAACAGATTAAATCCTACCTGATCGGTGAAGCTTTTACCCATCAGTCAGACAGGTTTCTGAATGCTCCTGAAACCTTCTCACCAGTATCAGTGTATCAGCAGGTGGCTGGAAACCCCTAAAGTCAGGTGCAAACTTCCATGGAGTGTGAGGGAGCACTTTGGGCTGGCATTTGGCCTCTGATCCAGCCTTACCCTGTAGCTGTGCTAATGACCTTGAGAAAGGACAAGCCTTAAACACTGATGATCAGGGTCTCCTAGGCCATCAGTTTCTTCCAGATGGTCATTAATCCTCAGAAAAATGCGTGCTGTGCCTCAGTTGTTAATGCCTAATTAACCCCATAATGGCAACATCTCTGCAATAGCTACAGGTTTTCTGTTTCCTCTCTCCCACCTAACTGTACAGAAGACCTTGGTACTTCTCAGTCAAGCTGTGTGCTTTCCAAGAGGATATTCAAAGTTATATCCGAATAACTGCAGAAAAGATCCCTGTGGAATATAAATGTCAAATGACACCTCATACAGCTGAAGGAAATGCGTTAGCTGTTAAAAAACCTGCTGCTCCCAGGGTTGTATATGCATTCCAAATTGCTGTATACAATGTTTCCTTGGAAGCTGTAACGCAGGGTAGGTGTGTCAGCTGTAGTACCTTCCCTTGCAAAATGTTCCTTCCCAGAATGTCCTTCAACTGTTGGGCATTTGCATGCTATGCCTTTCCAGGATTCCTGAGAGCTGTTCTGTCTCGCTCGGAGCAGCAATGAGCTTCTGTGACTAAATATTAATTTAGCTTTTCTTCTCAAGCAGGGGGTGACTCAAGTCTTACCTCTCACATCTGCCATGAGTTTTGAGAATTACCGAATCCTTCTGGCTGCAGCACCCATGGTGACAACATTGGTACTTCACATCTTATTTTCAGCCCTGTGGAGAGGTGAGATGTTAAGAGAGAAGGAGCTAGAACAAAGAGGGAGATCTTAATCCTCCTTCATTTTGAACATCAATGTTTAGCTGCCTCTGGCTAGAGTTTTAAGACCATGGTAGGTTGTCACTGTCCCTCCCACTTCTCTCTTAGGAGGAGGGTGAACACCCCCATGCATCTCTGCCAGGAAGGCATTAAGCTTTTCACCCGATGCCAGCTCCTCCAGGCCCTCTTGTTAAGCTTTTCCTCTCAGGCAATTCCTCTAGCAGCTCTTTGGCAATACCTACCCTGTTCCAGGTCTGCAAAACTGAGTCATCAGCATCCCTTCCATGGCTGTTTGTTGGAGTAGGAAGTGTTGTTTGCCTCCACAGATTATAAAAGAGAAGCATAATTTGTGTCTCTCCGAGCTACTTACTGTTTAGAGTGTATGTGTTTAGAGGAGCAAGAACTATCTTTGTGTCATTTATTCCTACAAAGCATAGTTAATTCTGGCCTGGATTTTGAAAGCTCATCCATGCCAGCCGAATTACACGTTCCTTGCAGAGTAGGCAAAAAGTCGAGGTTGCAATCAATACCTAAAATGTTCCTGAAATATGCTTTGCTTTATTGCTTCCTCTGTTTCGTTATCTTCTAGTCCTCCTGAAGCCTCTGGGGGATTGCTGCTGAGCTGATGCTCCTTGCTTGTGTGGGTTGTCTGCACCAGACTGCTCCGATCCTGCACATGCAGGGCCTGGGAGCTGCTGTGCTGCGAGAGGATGCGGGAGCTGTTAGGACCATGCTTTAAAATGTCTGGTTCCTGATTCTTGCTTTTATAAATAGCTTTCAAATTGTAATAATCAATTTAAGATTTTGGGAGAAAGAATCTTCCTTTCAGAGATGTGCTAAATATATGCAGTTCCTATTTCTCCCATTAGTATCAATACTGGGCTAAGCATGCGTGAATCACCCAGCGAGGTACTCAAGCCAGCCTAGGGACGATATGATCCCGAGTTGCCCTCTTGGAATTTCTTGGCACGTTTCAAAGGCAGAATAAGATGCTCCTAAACACTCTGCTTAAGCCTACAGTAACTTGCAGGCCAATCTTTATAGATACTAAATAAATAAGGGTCAAAGATCCCCATGGAACATACTAACCCTTTGCTATCACTATTTGCCTTGGCTCTGCCTGTTTTTCTTTTGAAAAGTGGTACCAGCCCACCAGTCTCAAACAATGATATCTTCATTTTAGCTTGTAGGAGTCAGCCCTATGCACTGTGTCACCTGCCACCAGCTCAGGCCCACAGACATGGTCCCTTCCACTTGCTTGGGATGTTTTCCTGTTTATGGCATCATGTTTGCCCACTTGCTGGGGTCTGTAAAGGAAAGGTCAGCATTAAAAAATGGCAGTGTTCAAAATGAAGGGGAGTAGCAGCTCTTTTGATTTTAATTTTGAGCACTACGGATGTATCTGAAAATGGAGTGAAGCTGAAGTCTGAAGATCTCTCACTCACCAGAGCAATCTGCGCATCTGTGCTAATTCATCAGCTCATTCAGCTGGCTGTTCAGGAGGTTTTCTTGCAGATGATAGAGGTCACCTTGAGTCAACAGCCAGATTGACTCTGATGAAAGACTGCTTGGAAAGCAGAGGGTGGAGACATTTGTTCTCCTCAGGGGCTGGGATTTGGGTACTTGGTTTCCCTCGGGATGGGATTGGGTATTTGGCTTTCAGTTTTGTGGGTGTTTTTTTTTTTTTTAATTTATTTTTTATTTTGTTGGTGGTCAAGGTGGTGGTAGGCTTTTTGTTTGGTGTGTGTGTGTTGTTGTTGTTTGTTTGCTTTTTTTTTTTTTTAATTTAGTTGGACAATCTGCGTACAGAAGCTTGAAACAGAAAGGGATTTCAAAAATATGTATTGTACCTAGCTGTGAAGAATACAATTTAACGCTTTTGCTCTGCTAAATGAGGAAAAACATCCAACCTGTTCTTGCAATCTGCAATAAGTGTGTTGATGCTGACAGGCTTTCTTTGGGATTTACTATGGTCATTATATAAAAGAGATGGGGGAAAGCTTTTTTTTTTTTTTTTTTTTTTTTTTCCCCTTTCCTAAACTCCCCTTTGGGTGTTTCCAAAGTGATAACACAGGTTTGGTTTGGTTTTTCCATTCATTGCCCTCCTTTTTCTTCTTTCCCCACGGATTAAGCTATGTAACACAAAGAAGCGTAAACGATTCTCAGTTCATTTTTACATAGCCTATGGATCGCTAATTTTCCTGGGTCTACTTGTTGATCTAAGCTTTGAATTTGCTTCAGTTGAAATGGAATTAGGTTTGGAAACTATCTAGTTTAAGATAAAAAACCTATTCAAACCTATCAGGCCTACCTAAACCTCACCCTAGGATTCCTGGATGAAATATGCATGGAAAATCCCAAGGCATCTTATCTGATCAAATCGATCTGTTTTCAACTTGGATACCCGCCCAGCTAGACGCCTGAGAGCTGTTCTCCCAGATGAGCTCATACTACCATACTAATGTAGAAGAATTTGATATCACCATTTTACGTTTTTTCTAAAACAGTAAGAAGTCAAAGCCTGAGGAGCAAGCCTTGGCACACAATAGCATAGATCTGTCACTGTCCACTAGATGGAAGTGTTACCCGGTCCCTGTGTGGGCGATGTGCAAATCATCTATTGCAACACGGGCAGAAACGTCCCACAGACGGGAGCCTGCAAAAGTCCTTCTCATAATGCCTTCCTGTCTGCTTCCAGCACCCTCAGGTCCCATTTGAGCAGAGCAGCACAGTAAGGGGACCACCACAGCACGTAATGCACATGTGCTGCAGCATGCCATGGGCAAACAACGTAGAATTTTGTGTGTTATGTCACAGGAATTGCACAGAGACTTAGTGCCGCGTGAACAGTGAGGCCAGGGAATGAAAACGTTCAATGAAAATCCAGCAGATGATATTTTGTTCAGCTTCTCCAGCAACTGTCATTGCCTGAAACCTAAGAGTCATTTTTGTCTGTTTCTGCCTTGCTTGTCTGTCCTTTTTGTCTGTTTTTGCCATGTTCTCCCTAATTGTTTCTTTTTTCCTTTCCTCTTTTTTTCATGCCTTAAAAAAAAAACAAAAAAAATCAAGTTCTGTATAAGCACTGTGTTATTTTACTGATGCTCCCTTCCACAGATATCAATCCACTGAGCCAGCAAACTTGTTCTCAGGGAGAAGTCCTCAGATACGACAGGGAAGAGCAGCACTGCTGCAGTGTTTGTAGCCACAGTGAGAAACTGAGAGCTCAAGGAGGAAGGACATTAAGTACATAGAGCGCTGAACCGCATAATTGTGCTTCACGCTGTGTCTTTGCAGCAGTTTTCTGGATTAGCAGCAAGGAGGTCCTCGGAGCAGGAGCATGCAAAGGGACTGACAAACATTACTGACTGCTACCTACACGGGGCTTTGGCTTTTTCCTAGGCTTTAGCTTCCCTGTCCCAACCACCTCTGGGTCCTGCACAGTTGCTCCTTCAGCCATAACTGCCCTGTGCTTTCCTGGCATGTTCTTCGTTCCCACAGTTGAATTATTTTTTGTTTTTGATAATTCTTCCAGATTAGCTTGGCTCTTTAAGCAATTGCTTTTACCTTTGTGTCCTTGTTAACACTCTCCACACCCTCTTTTTCCTGTGCTCTTGTCTCAGGTCCCATCATGTTTACCTTCAATTGGAAATGGCCTGGGGCTAGGGAGTGTGTGTAATTATGAAATGGATGATTAAATCTCATTATTCTGTAGAAATTACAGTTAATAGTGTTCTTAAGAAGCCAGGAGAATATGTATTGGATCATTGATGATATATGGAAAGGCAAGAATTCTTATATGACATGCTATCTTTAAGAAAATTATCTTAAAGCTTGGTTGCTGTCTAAACCCTTGATATGTCCCTTATAATCTTATGCTGCATTTATTCTAGGAATAAAAGCCTGTGGCACGTTGCCTCATTGGATTTTTTACTACAGAACACCATGTACTGCTAAAACTGTGATTGAACCGGTAAATTTTAGGTGGCATGGATAGAAAAAATGATAGGATCAAGAGCCATCCATACCCACAGTCAATTGACATCACCATCAGTCTAAGGCAGCCTTATTGTTCTAAGCTACTATTTCTTTAGTTATCAGCAGGGCAGATGCAGTTGTTTGAGAGAGGAGCATTAAGCATAAATGTTAGCAACACACTTTGATGTCTCACAGTGTACTGGGAAAAAAAGCTTGTCCTCACCACAGCTGGTAAGGATTAACAGCAGCAACTTTGCTGTGAAGTACCCTGCACCCACAAGCTTCTATATTTCCTTGGATTTTTTTTTTAAGAGCTAAATATTTGGAGGAATCAATTGGCACTTCAGCATATGATTAAACCCGTTTGTTGTGACACAAGGCCTACTTGCTTTCAACAGAGTAGGTGTGGAGGCATCTCTGTTCCAAAGAAGCTGTTGCTCACTGCTCAGGTCCTCCCACTTCCATGCTGCTTTGCTGAGTCCCCATCTTTTCACCTGCATTTCCTCAGCGATGATAGGTCTTCTGATGCAACTGCAGCTTCCCTGTCTGAGTGCACAATGCCGGGATTTGTCCTCTTTGACTTTTGTTTTCCCGCGTTACCAAACTTTGGATGACCCTGAAGCTTCATCTTTCCTGGCAGCTAGGGCTGACCAGTCTTGGGGAGACAGAAACTGGTTGGTCTTCGTGTATCTAAGTGGATATTGTAACAAAGGCAAGGTAGTGGAAGAGTGGGGTTTAGCTAGAGTAATGGTGTAATACAAAAAACTTTGGCAAAAAAAGAATGTTAACAACAAAAGGGCTTTAGGGACATGTGCAAGGTACTCAGTTACAAAGGGAAATAGATGTGAGCCCACCACCAGCTGTCACATTTTGTAGATCTAATTATTGCTCAAGTTAGTGGGCCCCAATTTGCACAAAAAAAAAAAAAAAAAATCTTCTCTCTCTCTTCTCTGTCTTTTTGGACTGTAACATCAGCATAATGAAAGGAGAAGACAAAGACAAGATTGGAAAATATCAGGTGAAGAGACAGCCTACCTCACATTTCCCCCTGTACTGCCCAACTGAAGCACTGAGGCTTTATTTTAAAATCTCAAGGTGTTTGGTGGCTGGGGTGATCCAACAGGGAAGTATGCTGCGGTGTGTAAGCTCTGCTTGCCTGACCACTCCTGCTCGTCCAGTGACAGGGTGACAGAAAACTTGCAAAAAATGTTCTCTAAGATATTTATATAGCCTAGGTATGGTCACAAAGCAGGGGTCATGCGGTGAGGCATTTGAAGTGGGAATATGAGGAATGTAAACATGCAGGAGAAAGAATTACAGCAGGAATTGAATGAAGAGCTTTGATGACAAAGCTCTAGTAAAGGAGGCCGTAGTCAGCTGCTGTGTTTAATATCAGGGTGGGGTGGGGCCTTTTAAAAGGTTACAGGATGGTGCTTACAGAAGAGAAGGGGAAGGCAAGCAGCACGGGTGAATGGCAGAAAACTGCACAGTACAGAAATTCAACCCCAGAAGTAAAGTTGCACAGGATCACAGCCTCACTGTGAACATAATATATCTGCCAGGAGTAGAGAGGGAGGAAAGGGCAACCTCAGCATCTGTTTCTCAAAACACTCTGGTTCCACTCATTCTTAGTTTACATAGACTGTAAATAATTTAGTAGAGTACAGGCTCTTGAAGCCGGGGAAAGAAGAGGCTAAGGTACAAAGTCTCATTAAGATTTCTCCAAGGGTATCTCACAAATCTCAGTTTTCTAATTGACTTTCTTATTTCTCATTTCCATTCTCATTGGGAAATCACTTTTTAACTAAAGCCTGCTGCAAAACCAGGAGGAAAAGCTGTGGAAAATAATTTCTTTCTTTCACTGTTTGTTTTATCAATATCTGGGGAAATGGGGAAGTTTCAGTTCTGCCCAAGCTGAATCACTGGTGTAGAGAAATCTGTAATGGTGATATGCAGACATAGGCATCTACAGCCAGCACATTATTCCAGGGAGCTTGGAGTTGTCAATGTATTTCTGCTTGTTTACAGAGGCAGTGAAAGAGACAGACTCTTTACCCTACCAATGTTTTATCTGCATGGAAAATAAGGCAACACGAGAAGTGTTAGGACTATGCAATAAATACAGTTTAAGTTCCCATTTTTATTTTATTCTAACAATGCATGTAAAAGGTGTGGGCTTTGTATTTTTAAACAAATTGTCTGTGAAATGACTCCTTCTACCACACCCACCAGTATTTCCTTCTGAGCAACATCGGTTTCAAGGCTGAAGATGTTCATGATTCCATCTCAGCTCTTTTTCTAAAGGGAATACGTGCAAGTGTCTCTCCTTGCACGTTGGTCATTATCTTGTAAGTCAGCACAAGAATTCAAGGTACCGAGTTAGAGTTCCTGTATATACTAGTTCGTTAGAAAATGTATATGAATCTTCTAAAAGTAGTAAACCTCCTGGCTTTGCCTTACTTCCCAAAGGCTGGGGTGGGGAATCCAGTCTCCATTTTCTTTCCTGCATTTCCACTTGTGTATTTACTTCTTGTTTGCTTTGCTTCTGCTGTAGTGTCGGGATAACATCTACCCTTGTGTGAGTAGTTCACTTAGGGGATATCGTGGCTCCTTCTGCTGGAAAGAGGTTGTGGAGAACAAGATATGGAAAGTATACGTGCCTTGCTTTATCTACCTTTATACCATTTACACCGTCTGCACGGCATTTTCAAGGAAGACTATACAAAAGCAAAAGAGAAGGCAAACTACCATTAATATGAGGCTGCACCTCGGAAGGGCCTGTGGGACTAACGACTGAGCTATTCATGCTGGCTAACCCCCAGCTAAGTTACCACAGCTTTTATTCCCCAGACCTGAGGAAGAGATATTAAAAATACTAATACTGATAGGATATCAAAGAAAATGAGAGGAGAGGAAAAGGAAAAGAAAGAAAAGAAAGAATGATCTAACAAACCAAAAAAAAACAAAACCAAAAACAAAAACAAAAACCACAAATCTAACAACTTGATAATAGGATAGCAAGAAAACTTCAGGAAGAGCCCCTGTCTTCCTTGTTCAGGTAGAAGCAAAGCCAACAAAGGGGCACTGAAAGCTTGGTGCTCTGCAGAGCGTCTCTGAGGCTTTGGGAAGGAGGGAGCAATAGGAGAGAGCCAGGCTCAGGAAAATGCTTTCTTTCCTCTGTTTGCTCTTTTCTGTTAGGTCAATAAGCAGTGGAATTGGCTGGCAGGAGGTGCTGAAGCGAGGTTCCTTGTGAGCCTCCAGCCTGGGGTGCCTCGGTTAATGGGCAGAGCTCGGCTGCTGTGTGCCACTGCAGGATTCCCTTACCTCAGGGGCCAGACCGGGGGGGCTGGCAGCTCTCTGCATGGTGCAAGTTGAAGAAATGAAACATGCTGTCTGAGGGTGCCTTTAACAAGGGGCAGGTGCTCTGCAGTCATAGTAAAGCAATGAGTAGAGGGGCCATAGCATGCTAACAATGCTGCCTGAAGTGGGGAAAGCAGCAAAGTGGGAGATATTCCCCCAAGAGGCATGGGGTGGCTGGACTGAACTATGGGAGACCTGATCTTGTGGTGGGAACAGTCCTGCTCGACCCGTTCCCTGCAGCTGTGCCCTTCCACCCTGTTCTGCCCTGCCCCGGGGCTGGATGCAGACCCATACGGCTGTTCAGACATCTCTGTGTATGGAAGCTCCATGTGAGTCTTTTGTCCAGCGTCAGTTAGAGAGGAATAATCTTTCTCCCAGGGCAGAGCATCTGCCTTTGGCTACATACAAAGCTCAGTGAGAAGCTCTAAAACTGATGCTTTGTCTGGGGAATTGGAGCAGCAGTTAGCCTCTGTGGGCAATGCCTGTGCTGGCCACTTTCTTCTTTCTTTGGTACTTACGGAAGAGAAGGAAATATATTTAGTTCCTGCTGCTGCAATCCATTAACTGCCTTCCATTTCACAGCGGGTGCTATTTTCCTTGGGGGAAAGAGATGCAATAAACATGCTTCGAATAATGAAAACTCTCTGCCCCATTAATGGCTTTTTGAGTTATGCCTTTAGGGAGAGATTTTCAAAGGTACTGCGTGAGGTCTGCTTTCTCCCTCTCCTTCAGAAATCTTTCTTTCTTACTGTACAGACTCCAGGAGTCTCTGGTCACGAGGCACAAATCATGACAGAGCTGTGGCTTTGGCCCTCAGATAACCAGGCTGCAATGTCCAAACAAGTGAGTTTCTGATGGGCACTACCTTGAGTTACTCCTTGCTTGTTTACACCAGACCAAACGCACAGTGGATGCAAAACCTTGCCCATGGGGAGCGTGCCATTCTCCATTCTGTACGGGTATTTGTCCTTCTCCAGGGGACAGACAGCCATCCAACTGTTCCAGAGGATAGAGGATGTAGTAGGTGAGGCATTCAATAAAATACATTTTTATTCTTGTCTCTGAAACAAGGAAAAGTATTGGAGTGGTTATGATAGGAAATTGTGATTTTTGGACCTCCTCCTAGCTGAGTGCGTTGTGACTACCTGCCAGAGTTTCAAAGCGTATTCTATGTACCTGGTACATTATGGGTGCTTGTCTCTATATTTGCTGGATTTACTCTAGGTTGGTGGCTCCCACTGACTCTGGCGCTGCTGGACATGCAGAGCTAGGGCAGAAATTCAAAACACAAAGCACCTGGAATACAGAGCTGTTCCCAGAAATGCATATCTACTTCTATGGGAAAGATGTTGTACTTCGTGGTTGTTACAGGGCTACCATGTAGATATCGAGCTAGCTAGATAGTAGTAATCTATACCAAATATTCAAATAATCATTACCTAGCTTTGTGAACCTTATCTGAATACTGTTTCACAAATGCAAAGCATACCTGTCAGCAGATTATTTGTTTTCAGTGCTTTTTTACCTGCAGTTTATGTTTCATGGGTCTGACTCACCTTTTCCACAACAGGCAAAATGTACTTACTGGCCTCTCTCAAAAACAAATTTCCTGTGTGGCAGGAGGGACTCGTTTATGCTCTTCAGGAAGAACAGCCCCTACAAATAGGTACCATGTAAGAAAACAGAATGTACAGGATGTGCTCTGAAGAGCACAGAGTCAGCACCCAAACAATAAAAAGTCAGTCCAACAGTGACACTTCATTTGTCTGTGCTATGTAACAAAAGAATGTACACCAAGTTATACGATTTCCTTTAGGCTAGTTAGCTGTGAGTTGTATGCCATGATGAAGTCAGGTTAATGTGCTTTTATCTGGTTATGTTGCACGGGGAGAGAGTATGCCCTTCCTTACTGGACTAACAGTAGTTAAGGAACAATTTAAAACACTTCTCCAGCCTTGCTGGCTCCCATCACGAAGCATGATCCTGCAGACACTTAGGTAAGGAATTTTACTCATACAAATAAGATCTCTGAAGTTATTCAAATGCATAACTGTTTGCAGAAATTGGCCTGTGGTTTTCTTAATCGTTTCTGGAGTTTGAGACAGATACTTCAGGTCAAAACTCTACTTTCCTTGGTCTTAACTTGGACCTAATTTCTGACTTCTCCTTGTTCCTAAATACAGGTTCAAAGCCCAGTTTGATATTTCTGGTTGGTTTATTTATGTTTCCTAAATGTTTATTTCCCTTACATTGAATTATACTGTAGAATATATTGCCATTTTAAAGATCTTACATAATCAGCTGTCCAAGCAAAACATTTGGATTACTCTTCTGCCCACAAGAATGTCTATGTGAAGCAATGTGAAATTACTTGCAAATCTGAAAGAGGTACTAGCTTAATATTCAGCGCTAACAAATAAAGATGGGGCTTATGGATTTGGAAATGCTGTGAGTGGCACTGCACTGTGCCAGGGACCATGTACCTTGGGGACAAAGAGGTGCTTTCCAGATGACTGCAACCTGATCCTCTGCTCTTTGTGCTGAGCTGAGCAGGGGAGGATGGGAAAGCAAGG